ACTGGCTCCAGGCAAAGCTGTCAGGAAATGTCTCCTGGGTCCCCTATTGCTTATGGCAGCAAGACAAGGGGTGCCAAGGCTGGACAGGGAGCTTGAACTTTCCCCAGCCATGGGAGGAGATGTACCTTGGCTGGAGGCGGGGGAGAGGGACTGAAGTGCTCAGGGTGAGCCCAAAGCCCCTTTCCTACACACCCATCTTCTACCTTTTCCCACCACTTTCTCGTTAGGGAAGGGGGGACAGAGAGAACTCTACTGCCAAACCAGCATAAAACGAGAGGGAGTTGAAGAAGCAACATGAATCAAGCAGTGACTAGGAGGTAAACATATAATACACAATGCCTTGGGATCATTTTTACTGGGGCCAACTCCAAGACTTTTATTGCCCCACTTATAATTATCTGGTAAATATTGTACATATAGTTGACCTTTCTAAATGCTGCTGGGTAGCTGGAGGTGTTGGGAGCTAATCCTGCCTGTGAAGACCCAGGGTTGTACAGCACCGACTTTATCTGCCGGCGTGTAATGCTCTGCAAGCGCTTTTTTCCCTCACTTAGTGACACATTGAGATTTACTGCCCTGTGTCAGTGAGTTCAAGAAAGCCTTTTAACTCTGGAAGCTCCGGGAACCGGCTCCAGCACATGCTTCAGGATTTATCCGTCAGTTTGTTACGCCTTGTTTGTCCAAGAAACAGTCAAGACTGAACGAGTCAGGAATGACAGAAATAGTACATGAAGTCACAGTTGCTCCACTTTAAAGCACAAGCATTTGTGTCGTTTTCCTACCAAATATATGTGCATTCGGCGAGCAAATAAGGCAATGGCAGAGGAAAGGCAACACGGGCAGGATTTTACAGATGCCAGCTGAGTTGTGCCCGCTGCTCCAAGCGAGGGTAGCAGAAGATTTCCACATGTACCAGCTCTTTCTGCCCAGGAAAGCAATCCCCGGGACTGGACACACTCACAAACCCCCTGAACGCTGCTGCAAGCCAGCCCTGAGAAAAACCTGTGAACACTAAACCGAAGCTGAAAGACAAACGCGTAAGAGAAAACTGAGCAGCCCCTGCTCTTTGCCTCACCTCCGCTCACTGCCTGCCCGGTTCCGAACATCCCCGCGCTGCTGTCCGCTCTGTTAACCAGCCCTTTTTTCCGTCACTCACATCCAGCCCCCGGCTCCCACGCCAGCCCTCGCAGCTGAGCTGTCCCACGGAGCGAGGGGCACACCTGGCTCCCGTCCCCTCCCGGTGCCCGCAGCCCCCCGCCCGCCCCG